GCATTGTGTCCCTCAGAATTAAAATGTCTTGCAACTGAAGATTTCTCATCATTCTTTCTAATAGCACACTTATGCTCAAAAATTCGGGTCTTCAGTTGTCGCTTCGTTTTGCCCACATAAAGAAGCCCACAAGGACAAGTCAATAAATACACAATAAAGGTATAGAGAGACATGTAATTCTGCCCTTAACTTTATAGACTCTGCCTGTTTTTGGATGTGTAAACGTATTATCTGTCAGCATAAAGTCACATGCCGCACAATTCAAACACTTGAAATTACCGTGAGGAACTTTGAAAGGGAAAGGCGCCTGTGAATGCGCAGGAAGGTGCGAGCGCACTAATCGATCTCTCAGGCTGGGTGCTCGTTTATAGCAAGTTCGCGGTAAGTTTTGGAACGTGTGTCCTATGTGAGGGACGCTACTTAAAATGTGCCAATGACGTTGCACGATGTTCTTTAAACTATTCGAGATATGGCCATAAGTCGATACAAAGGTGACCGGGGTGTTATTTGATTTTACCTGATCAGTACGTTTGGTTATCAAGTCAGCGCGCTGTACACTGCGCGCGCGCTCTACACAGTCACGCACTAAATTGTGTGTATAGCCCCTATCAATAAATCTTTGACACAGCTCTCCTGCTTGTCGCTCAAAATCTTCATCATGTCAATAGCTCATATTCTCAACAGTAAATTTACTGATTCTTGTGATGAATAGAACATATTGAGCCCCTTTGTGCACTCTTGCAGGAGGTTGGTGTGTCAGTTTTACATGTTGTAAATCATACAAATTGGTTGTGATATTTTTTTTAAAATAATTGTCATAAATAAAAATGTGAAAACCCATACTTTGAAAACCATTTTTTGATTTTCAGTTTTAGATGTCAATGGTTAATTTGTTTTAATAAAAAAAAACAACTAAATACCATATAAAAAATGTACAAACACATACTTTGAAGACCATAATTAAGGTAATTAAGAAACAATAAGACGTAATATGAAAAAAATGTTGTTTATTACAGATCTGTAGATTGAGACAGATCATTCACTGTACAGCATTTGCGGCAGATCAGAAAACGACCACAGTGGCGTATTTGTAATGATTAGACACAGCTTCCACCGTTGAATGAATACATCACTGTCCTTCGTGTCAAATATACATTTCGAATTAATAATTGTTCCTAGATCAACAAAACCTGCAGCTCTCATTGACTGAAATCCCATTGTAAACATAATCCTCTGATCATTCGAATGTTGTTTCCAGCCATTTAGGTGCATGACATACGTCACAACTACACGTTAGCGATTGGCTATGCCAGATCGTGAGTGACTCTGGGCAAATCCAATAGTTTTGAACTTTAACAGTGAACCTGCCTACAAGGAAGTAGGCCAGACTCTATGTACAAATGAAATGTACTAGAGTCTGATTGAAACAGACTAAAGTAGTCCCCCCTACAGGCTGTTTACCTAAAGTGATTGTTAATGATTAAAACATTTCTCCCTATTTGTTTTGACCAAAACTGTCAGGAAACCTTAGAACCTTATGTCTTGTTTTTAATTTTAGCCACTTAATTTTAGCCACAGTAACAGTAAGTGTGGTTTATTAATATAGGGACTACTAACAGAAATGTAACCAACATTTTAATAAAGAAAGATAAAGAAGTCAGCCAACAAGGAACACCTACAACTGTTTCAGCTGATCATGAAGTATAACATTTTGGTTTCAGAGGTGAGAGATGATGAGTGGGAGGAGCTCAGCCCCGACATCGCTGCACTGCACCGCCTCAGAGGACTGTCTGAACACATGTCTCATGAAAGATTCAAGAATGCTTCAAACCAAAGGTATCTGGAAAAATGTTTCCTTTTCAACTGGGAAGATATTGGCAGAGATGGGGACTCGAGTTTGAGACTCGGACTCGAGTCGCACTTACAGGTTCAGTGTGTAATATTTCTGAGGACCTATTGACAGAACTGCAAAATAAGATAACTATTTTTTCAGTTTTTATTACATTAGCCCTAGTCCACAATCTGACTTTTTCCTCCTTTGTTCTAAAACAAATCTCTGTGCCTAATAAAATGGTAAACAAAGCATGCAGTGGTGCAGGGGTTTTCAAAAATGTTCGGTTTCAATGACCTGATTCAATGACCTGCATTTTTGTGTGGACGAACGGCCAAAACGCGTAGAAAAAGTCAGTTTTCGAAAATACCTTGTTAGTGTAGACAGGGCCTTACAACGAGCCATTTATATCTACATAACCGCGGGCACCCCTTGCATGGACGTTGCCACATTGCATTGTCATGTTTCTACAGTAGCTGAAAATGGACAAACAGTGTAGCACTTCATTACTACACTCATCACTGTGTTGAATGCGTACGGTAGAAGAAGAACAAGTAGTAATAACTTACAGCAGGGGTCGGCAAATAAGTATTGCATCGGAGCAATATTTTCAACCATTAGATGGTGAGTGAGAATATAAGCCATAATAATGACCCAAATTTACACTCACCGGCCACTTTATTAGGTACCCCATGCTAGTAACGGGTTGGACCCCCTTTTGCCTTCAGAACTGCCTCAATTCTTCGTGGCATAGATTCAACAAGGTGCTGGAAGCATTCCTCAGGGAGTTTGGTCCATATTGACATGATGGCATCACACAGTTGCCGCAGATTTGTCGGCTGCACATCTATGATGCGAATCTCCCGTTCCACCACATCCCAAAGATGTTCTATTGGATTGAGATCTGGTGACTGTGGAGGCCATTTGAGTACAGCGAACTCATTGTCATGTTCAAGAAACCAGTCTGAGATGATTCCAGCTTTATGACATGGCGCATTATCCTGCTGAAAGTAGCCATCAGAAGTTGGGTACATTGTGGTCATAAAAGGATGGACATGGTCAGCAACAATACTCAGGTAGGCTGTGGCGTTGCAACGATGGTCAATTGGTACCAAGGGGCCCAAAGAGTGCCAAGAAAATATTCCCCACACCATGACACCACCACCACCAGCCTGAACCGTTGATACAAGGCAGGATGGATCCATGCTTTCATGTTGTAGACGCCAAATTCTGACCCTACCATCCGAATGTCGCAGCAGAAATCGAGACTCATCAGACCAGGCAACGTTTTTTCAATCTTCTATTGTCCAATTTCGAAAGCTTGTGCAAATTGTAGCCTCAGTTCCTGTTCTTAGCTGAAAGGAGTGGCACCCGGTGTGGTCTTCTGCTGCTGTAGCCCATCTGCCTCAAAGTTCGACGTACTGTGCGTCAGAGATGCTCTTCTGCCACTTTGGTTGTAACGGGTGGTTTATTTGAGTCACTGTTGCCCTTCTATCAGCTCGAACCAGTCTGGCCATTCTCCTCTGACCTCTGGCATCCAACAAGCATTTCCGCCCACAGAACTGCCGCTCACTGGATGTTTTTTCTTTTTCGGACCATTCTCTGTAAACCCTAAAGATGGTTGTGCGTGAAAATCCAGTAGATTAGCAGTTTCTGAAATACTCAGACCAGCCCTTCTGGCACCAACAATCATGCCACGTTCAAAGTCACTCAAATCACCTTTCTTCCCCATACTGGTGCTCGGTTTGAACTGCAGGAGATTGTCTTGACCATGTCTACATGCCTAAATGCACTGAGTTGCCGCCATGTGATTGGCTGCTTAGAAATTAAGTGTTAACGAGCAGTTGGACAGGTGTACCTAATAAAGTGGCCGGTGAGTGTACATGTTCTTTGGTTAGTTAGTTTTGTTGGTAAGGTGCAGGACTTGCAACCCAGGGGTTGAGTGCAGTTTTTTTTCTCTCTTCAACAAATGGATTCTGCAGTGAATGTTTCTCGACAGTTTGGGCTAAAGTTAAGGTCAGTAAGTATACAGGCGGCGACATGAGTCAGTTTCAAGTCTGTCCACCTGAGAAGTCCACGTTCAAAGTTGAAGACTGAATTAAGTGGATAAAACCCTTGAAAAGATTTTGCCTCACATCTGGAACAGAGACACAAGTGGATGAAAATCAAGTGAGCGTATCAGTACAAAGTCCTACCCTTTGGGCTGGCCCTGTGTCCCCGCGTCTTCACGAAAGTCTCAGAGGCGGCCATTGTTCCCATGAGAGAACAAGGCGTTCGCATTCTCAAGTGCGGTCACAGGGACATGGTGCTACGGCACCTCAGCTGGTTGGGGCTTCAGGTCAACTGGGACAAGAGCAAACTTTGCCCCGTGCAGAGGATCTCTTATCTCGGTATGGAGTTGGACTCGGTCGCCCAGACGGCGTGCCTCATGGAGGAAAGCGTCCAGTCAGTGCTCACCTGCCTCAGGTCCTTTTGAGGCAGGACAGCGGTTCCACTGAAACAATTTCAGAGGCTCCTGGGGCATATGGCAGCCGCAGTAACACCGCTCGGCCTGTTACATATGAGACCGCTCCAGCACTGGCTTCACGATCGAGTCCCGAGGTGGGCGTGGCAGAGCGGCAAGTTCAGGGTCAAAGTAACTCCGCACTGTCGCCAAACCTTCTCCCCATGGTCGGATCCTGTGTTTCTTCCAGGCATGCTGTGGTTTTCACAGATGCCTCTGCCATGGGGTGGGGGGCCACGTACAAAGGGCGTGCAGTCTCGGGTCTGTGGACGGGGCCCTAGCTGCATTGGCATATCAACTGATTGGAGTTGCAAGCAGTACGCTTGGCTTTGTGCCGCCTTGCCGCCTTGAGATGGTTTCTCAAAGACAAGCACGTACTAGTCCGTACGGACAGCACTGCGACCGTTGTGTATATCAACCGCCAAGGTGGTCTACGCTCCCGCCGCATGTCGCGACTCGCCTCCCACCTCCTCGTGTGGAGTCAGAAGCATCTGAGGTCGCTTCGTGCCGCTCATGTTCCAGGGGTCCTCAACCGTGTGGAAGACGAGCTTTTACGGTGGCCTCCCCTGCCAGGAGAATGGCGACTCCACCCCCAGGTGGTTCAGCTGATCTGGAGTGTTTCGGAGTCGCACAGGTAGACCTGTTTGCTTCTCCGGACACGACCCACTGCCAGTGGTTTTACTCCCTGTCTGAGGGGACCCTCGGCACAGACGCCCTGGCCCACGGCTGGCCCCGGGACCTGCGCAAGTATGCGTTTCCCCCAGTGAGCGTTCTTGCACAGACACTGTGCAAGGTCAGGGAGGACGAGGAGTAGGTCCTGTTAGTGGCGCCGTATTGGCCCACCAGGACTTGGTTCACGGAAGTCATGCTCCTCGCGACAGCCCCTCCTGGGCCGATTTCTTTGAGGAAGGACCTTCTTTCTCAGAGACGGGGCACTCTATGGCACCCGCGTCCAGACCTCTGGAAACTCCCGCCGCTGGAGGACCCCCGAACTTGCCCGATCAAAGTCGTGCTTTTTTTCCTACAAGATGGGTTGGAGCGTAGGCTGTCCCCTTCCACCCTCAAAGTGTATGTTGCAGCAATAGCTGCGCATCACGATGTAGTAGAAGGTAAGTCCGTGGGGAAGCACGACCTGGTCATCAGATTCCTTCAGGGTTCTAGGAGGTTAAATCTGCCTCGTGTTTTGCACTCTGTACCCTCTTGGGACCTAGCTCTGGTACTGACAGCTCTCCAATCCTCCCTTTGAGCCTTTGCTGTCAGTAGAGCTGAATATCCTGTCCATAAAGACAGCGCTCCTGTTAGCATTGGCCTCTTTCAAGAGGGTCGGGGATGTGCAGGCTTTCTCGGTCGACGAATCTTGCCTAGAGTTCGGGCCAGGCCTTTCTTGTGTTATATTGAGACCCCGCCCCGGATATGTCCGCAAGGTTCCTACCAATCCCTTCACGGACCAGGTAGTGAACCTGCAAGCGGAGGAGGCAGACCCAGCCCTAGCTGTTCTCTGTACAGTCCACGTCCTGTGAGTTTACATTGACAGAACGCAAAGCTTCAGGACCTCAGACCAGCTCTTTGTCTGTTACGGAGGCCAGCAGAAGGGGAAGGCTGTCTCCAAGCAGAGGTTAGCCCACTGGTTAGTGGATGCTGTCACCTGAGCGTATGTTGCTACGGGTGAGCCTTGTCCTCCCAGGTTGCGTGCTCACTCCATGAGAGGTGTTGCCGCCTCCTGGGCTTTGGCTCAAGGCGCTTCGCTGACAGACATCTGTAGAGCTGCGAGCTGGGCGACACCGAACACGTTCGCTAGATTCTATAGCCTACGTGTGGAACTTGTTTCCTCCCGAGTACTCGCTACGGCGAGTGGTGCGAGGGAATAGGTTGTGTCGGCTTGCTACGCCACTCCGTGCCTCAGCCGGATACGTGCGTCTTCTGCTCCGTTGGCGCCCTACGTTGGTTAGCCTGGGGAGTTCCTCCATCACCCCTCCGGTGCCAGGCTTTCCCTTCTTCGGGTTGGGCACGCTTCCCAGTGTTATCCAATGTCCACTGATTGGGTCTTGCGGAACAGCAGTGTGACTCCCTAGCTAGCTACCGTTATTTCTGAAACTGCGTGGGTAGCGTTGCTGGGCGCTGGAAGGGGCCAGCACCATGGCATTTTATTAGGGATCCCAATTCGTCAGGGAACTCCCTGACGACACGTTGGAGTTCCCAGGACGAAAGGGAACGTCTCAGTTACGTATGTAAACCTCGTTCCCTGAGTAAAGGGAACTGAGATGTGCCGTCCCTTCGCCATGTTGTTGTACCTTAGCAGAGGTTGTTGTTGTACCTCAGCGAAAAGCGTCTATTCAATGTTTTACTTCTGCTTTTATATGGGCGGCTCGCGGAATGCAAAGATTGCATGCAAATTGTTATTGGCTCGTTTTTAATTCTATCAGAGATAATAAGGCTCCCTAACGTTATCCCAATTCGTCAGGGAACTCTCCGACGACACGTCTCCGTTCCCTGTACTCAGGGAACGAGGGTTACAAACGTAACCGAGACGTTACTGGTGAACGGGGCCGAAACGACTATCTTCCGCCTCAGCGTTCATCCTCCCGTCTCCAAAAGCACATATCACCGTCGGCAGCTTTCCCGCGAGTGGGCGTGGTTTCCCCGCAGCCAGCAGACATGCCCCCAGCGTTTGAGAGCAGAGAATACTGCTCATTATTTCATGATTTTGATAGCTTATTTTATGTACTCGCCGGCTTTTTTATCATTCAAATTTGGCTGGATGGCTAATAACATATTTTTCTGTGGTGTGACAAACTCAGAACACATACTAAATTTTGACTTTACATGGACTTTAAATACAACAGAAACACAAAGTAGTACTGACAGCCATAATTTCAGCCTGTGGTAAAACGGTGCAATGTTTTTAATGGGCATTTAGCATGTGAAAGTACAAATAACACATCTGTGTGCACAGTGGGAGGCAATATCCAATAACGTTTTTTATTGTTCCCAAGGGAAAATAAATGTGCATTGAAAAAGTAACAAGCACAATATTTCATCTTAGGGACACATTCATCCATGGGGCCCGAGTTAGGAGATCCAGCAGCAGGTAAGGACGCATTTACTCTTTGTTCACAACTAAGAGTGAGAACTGTCAGATTATTGTAGCTGCTTCTAACTGTTTAAAAACAGCTCATCTCCAAGGTAAACAAACACTGAATGTTTAAACCTTCTTCAGAGCTATGATTGACCCTTATGAAAGAAAAATATATTTACCAATATATTACTTGAAATATATTGTAATATATTGTTTATTTTATTGTATATATATTATTTTCCTTTCCATTTTCCAATATATTATATATTGGAAATACATGGAGTAATATATTGATGAAACATAGGGCCATATTGACTGAACTAAGGCCCTGTTTACAGCGATCCATATATATCCATATATATATATATATCCATATAATTTCATATAGATTGTTCAATCTCTGCTTCTTTCCTGCCTGCATTGTTACAGAATTTGCATGTTCTCAATATTGATATGTACATATATTTAAAATATATTCCACAAATTATTGAACATAACTATACATATATTTTATTTATATATTTTCATAAAATTGTACATATATTTAAAATATATTCCACAATAAATTGAACACATATCTATACATATATTTTATTTATATATTTGCATACATTTTTAAATATATTTAAAATTTATTCCACAAAATATTGAACACATAACTATACATATATTTTATTTATATATTTCCATACAATTTTAAATATATTTAAAAATATATTCCTCAATATATGAAACGCATATCAATACATATATTTTATTTATATATTTCCATATAATTTCATATATATATATATATATATATATATATATATGGATTATATATTTTTGGTCTTGATTGCAATATATATATATATATATATATATATATATATATATATATATATATATATATATATATTATATTGCAATAAATGCATAGTCCATATATATATATATATATATATATATATATATGGACTATGCATTTATTGCAATATAATGGACAACATAAATATTAAATCCTATATATGGGAATATATTGCCAAATATAGATGTCACAGTCCTCCGTCTGCACCAGTCTGTCTCGTCATCTGCACTACACTTCCCAGGATCCTTTTGTCTCTACTCCCGATCTCACTCCCTCATCAGCCACCTGTTCCTCGTCTTGTTTCATCATCTTCACCTGTTTGCACCTCGTTTTGGTTGATTCCTCTGTGTATTTAGTTCCATCTTATTCAATCTGTCTTTGTCGGTCGATGTTGTTCTTATGTTGAATGTTACCCGGTGTACCCTGTCTTCCTGCCTGTATTTTTGAATTAAATGTATCTTCATTGTGACTCTGGAGTCCTCCAGTTCCTTCTGCCTGCTCCACACCCATGACAGATTGACCGACCCAAAAGTGGAAGTGTAGTGCAGATGACGAGACAGACTGGTGCAGACGGAGGACTGTGACAATATCACACTGTATATTCCAATATACTGCAATATATTTTTGTTTCGTAAGGGTCGATCCCCAGGACAATCAGTTAATTCATCAATAAATACATTGAAAGAAATATCTTTTTTATCGATTAATTGTGTAAGTCATTTTCTAAGAACAAATGTCAAACATTTGATGGTTCTAGCTCCTCAAAAAATATGATTAGCTGATTTCGCTTGTTTAAGTGTTTTATCATGTCATCAAAACAAATCAATAATCATTAGAAAAACAATATTATATTTTACCTGGAATGATCACACAGTTTCACATCTTGCGTGTGACTTGACATTTTTATACAAATTAAAGTGGAATATTTTCTGTGAGACTGAAATTCTTCAGAAAAGACGTCTAGTGTAGGTGCCACTTGATTCAGCATGTGTTGTTTTTTCTTAGCAAAAGTTAGTCTCAAACATCAGTCACATTAACTTTTCATGTGTTCTTTATCAGGTTTTACTGAATTTGTAACCCTCTATGATAAACATGTGCATCTTCTTTTAGGGACTTTGATCAAAACCCAGTGAGTCTGCAGGATGATTTGCAGGCGTGTAATGAGAGTTTCACAGCTTGTGTCATTCAGATGGAACAGGTTGGTGGATTTTAAAAGCAGCACTGAGTTTAGAGGAAGTGACTCAATACTGGAACCAAAATCAGTCAATAGCCATGTTTCCATCCACTTTTCAATCGAATTATCTGAAGTTCGGTCAAAAAACTCATGCAAATAAAGCTGGAGATTTCCATCCAACGGCTTTAAAGCGAATACAAATCTGTATGTAATGACGTCACATGCTGTTTTGCGATCAAATTGGTATGTCGAATTGATTTGAGACATTTTAAGGTGTTTCCATTCATTTTCGCACTGAATCGAACAACATTCAAGCAAACTTTTGCGGATCACGCCATCTACCAACAAATGATCAATATTTCACAAGTTGTAGCCTAATATTGCATATGTGCCAGCTGATAATGGATATGTGAGGCGGTTGTTAGCCTGAAGAGGTTGTATTCGCTATACCTAGATAGCAAACTGACATTGAATCAACATGGAAACATGACATCGAAAAAACGTTGATCTGACATTGTTTTGCTCATCGAATTAACGTTGAACCAACGTCAGATGCGTCATTCTTTCAAAACTAACGGAAAATCAACTTGAAATCAACGTTGTTTCAACGTTATGAAAGCAAACCAATTTTTCGAAAAAAACAAAAAACCAAACCAAAAAATCAACGTTGTTTCGATGTCATGAGAGACGTCGTTTCCATGTTGATTCAATGTCAGTTTGCTGTCTGGGTAACCACCTCGCTATACATTATCCTGCTTATTACATGGCTACCTACCAAATAAATCAATAATTTGACACAAAATATTGACTTAAAAGGGAGTTTATTGATTTAAAAACGAGTATTGCTTCTGCTAAAGAAAATAGTCTGTTCCGTCTCTGAACTGCGTCCATGGCAACGGTGTGTTATACTTAGCAGCGCCGCAGTCTGTTAACAAGAAATAACAGACCGCATTCTACATTACAATTCAACCAAGCCACGTAATAACAAGCAAACCTAACCTTAGAAAACAACGACGCTACAAAGACATTGCTATGATGATGACGATGCACATCAATGCTGGGGAACGACAGCGCTCCATCAGTTCTGGGAGATCGTGGTTCACGGAAACCCTTTGGTTGAAGCATTTTTTTGCTTTGTCCACTCACATCTGTCTTTGTTGACATCCGGCATGTGTGCGCAAACAGAGCGGGAATACTGGCCGGAAATAAACTCGTCTTCTATGTTTTGTAACCATGAAAGGGCCTAAAACTTAATCCCAATTCATTATTTATTCGGAAAATAACGTTTCCATCAGCTTTTATTGCATTAGCAGTATATCGATCAAGATAAAATCCGATGAGACGGAACGTATTTCATTTAAGTCGATTTTCATGAAATTTGATCGAATTTTTTGTTTCCATACGGTATTTTTCATTCGATATCACTTAATTTGGATAAAAAACATGTCGATGGAAACATGGCTAATGTTTCATTAATAAAACTAGTAATCCAAAGAGTTAGACATCAGAATACATACATAAAAGCTTACCTTGAAGTAATTTAGCCTGAAAATTTAGTGCTGTGTTTTTATATTGTTTTTTTCTTCACTAATTTCCCAGCATGCTGACAGCTTCTTGGAAGCTGTTGATGAACACAAGGTACAAGACAGGCTGATAGCTGCTTCAGAGATCTCACACAGCTACAGCCAAAAACTTCTGGTCATGACTGACAAAGAAAAGTCAACAAAGGACAGAGTCCAGCAGGAGTACAGCATGGATCCTCATTACTCAGTGATAGTCAGCAAAGAATGCCTGTTCAATGTCTCATGTGTCCCAGAAGCAGGCAGCGACACTGTAGTGAAGATATTCGGAAGAGTTTCAGAAGATGGACAAACTGTGTCTGGCCTTTCTGGCTCATCACTTGCAGAGCTGATGTTGAAAGCTTCACTGGAAGATGCACCAGTGTTCTCGCTTGATGGAAACACAACCACAGACTTCCAACATTACTTCATCCGTGTCTTTGTGGTCCAAGGCATCAAAGCAGTCTTAGAAACAAAGCAGGAGAATCACCAGATCTACCAGGTCATGAATCAACATGACTCAGTTTCTCGCTACCAAATTCCACAAAGAGCGGTTGATCATAGCACACAGTATGACCACCAGCAGATCCTCATTATGCAGGATGACCCTACTGTCAGAAAAGCTGCTATTTACCTTTATGAGAAACATCCAGCAGTTACCTCTGTCTACGTTCTTGATAACAACCAGAGACCCAAACTGATCCGGGGTGCCTCTGTGCCTCTGTCAGAGGACAGCAGACTGACGCTGGTAGGCCACGGCGAGAGACACAGTTCTGGAGAGACGAGACTGGCGGGGTACACGGCTCAAGACGTCGCCAAAATCATTCAACGAACCTTCAGGGCGGGCGATAAAATCAAAACAACAAGTGTGGTGGCCTGTGAGGTGGGATCAGATAAAGAGTTTGTTAAAACCCTGCTGAGGGAGCTCCGTGAGACCGCCAACATCGAGACAGAGCTGCACCTCAGGAGTGCGGTGCTGCAGGTCAGACACACAGGAGAGAAAATCACCCAAGAGATCTCTAAGGAAGGGCTGCGATGGAGACATAATGATGATAGCAAGAAGGTGGTGGCAACCCTCGATAGGAACGGACACGTAATTATCAGAACTGAGCCTGGCAGGAGAGGAGAGGAAGTTTTTACTAATGAAAGAAACTTTCTTATGCCAAGTGAACGTTTTAAGGTCTACAGAAACAGCTGGCCTGATAAGCCACATAGATTTATTGACCAGGACGTTTTTAAGAAGTTTAAGAATGCTAACCAAATACGTACTGCTTGTGATGAGCTTGAAGCTCTGACCTGGGGCCTCTTTCACTCAGACCTCTCTCCTCCAAAAAAAATAACGAAAGAAAACGTGAACCTAAATGAGAATTATGTAATAGGGGAAAGAATAAAAGATAATAATAACAATAATCCTGTGATAAAGTGGATTACAGATGAGCGTGAACTAAAGGTTGTTCTTTCCAAGTGTTACGAGATTAAATCAGGAAAAGATGTCAGAAGTATCATACGTCATTATGCAAAGAATGGAGAAGATAAGCTCACATACCTGATGGTCAAAGACTGGATATACGCTGTTGATCCTGTAAATCTGTATGTGTATCCAGTTGGAAAAAAGCTTAGACAGTTGAACAATCAAAAAGATGATGTGGGCAAAGTTAAGGCATGCATTAATGAACAGATAGGCAAAGAAAAATACCCAGACATACAAGAACACATTCTTGATAAAAATAGCTATGTTAAACATGTGGAAAATATTTTTCTTGGAGACACGACTGGAGAGCACACATCTCGCCTGCCCCTATCCACTGAGGCCTGGTGCACCACATATTTCACTGCATCAGTTATTTCTGAATCAGCTAGAAACTTCCGGACATTTCCTCTAACTCTCATGGCGCTGGATTTATGCTCAAACAAAAACTTCAAAGAGAAAGGACTGAAGTTTTTTTTTGAAGAGCATCCAATGGCAAGAGGAGAGAGCTGGATTGACCCGAGCAGACGTGGATTTAGTGGCTCAGCAACACCTGAAGGTTCCAGTAAATTAAACAATTACAATTACAAAAAAACTCCTGAGGAATTAATGGAAGCTCTTAAAAATGTTGTGAAAAAAGAAGCCGACCTGTACCAATCATGGATTAAAATGTTTGGAAACAATATTGAATCTAGGGTATTGCAGATGGTAGAAAAATACAAGATAACTGAAAGTAATTCAGTTGAAAATGAACCATTCATCAACAATTACAACACTTTCAAAACAGAAATAAAAGAAACCAGTGGACCTCCAACATCAGGCACATTAGGAGGCTACAATGACGGCCACGTAACCTCCCAAGACCTAAAATCTGCCTCCAAGTTAGAGAGTTCCTTTAAACTTGAATCATATTTCTCCAGGGGAAGAGTATTATTTGCTGAACAAATCCAAAATAAGATAAAAGCAAAATATGGTGAAGATCTGGCAGGGCTGCACCTCCAGGAGGGCAGCGCCAGAATAGAGGATGGACAGTTCATAGGTCGCCTGGTGTCCCAGGGTGCCGATGCTGAACCTGTTGAGTTTAGGGTTGAGTTATCTCCAGAGAGTCAACACTACAATGAAAAGATGTTGAAGAGCATTGAAACAGCAGTTCACGAGCTGGAGGGTCCAGTCTCCTCCCATCATGTCAACAAGTATGTAGAGCACGCTGGGACTGCTGTTGGTGCGCTGGGCCTCATGCTGGGTATGAAAGGAGCTGTTCGTGCCTTTGAAAACGGTGACATCAAAGATGGTGTGGTGGGAACTTTGCAAACGACTCATGGAGTGGCAGCCATGACAACAGCTGTTATAGCAAAACAAACTCTGTCCTCTGAGGCAAGAATCAGCAGAGCTGCAGCTACAGTCATGAAAAGTCCTGCAATGAAGGGCTTTATGACAGTTATACCACTAGCGGGAATTGGATTTGGACTATACAATTTTGAACAAGATTTGGAGAGAGGTGACACACTGGGATACATTGATGCTGGGTTAGATGTTGTGATGATTGAGTTGGATGTTATTGAACTCGTTCAGCCTGAACTGATACCAATAATAGCGCCTATAAACCTGGCTCTGTCAGCAGTCCGGATGGTCATTGATGATATTTCTATGGGAATACAGGATGAACTAAACAAGCTCCCGAAGGATGCTGGAGTTCTGGGGACAATGCTGGCTGTTCTTCGTGGCTTTGGGAAAGGGATTCTGCATTTTGTAATTCATGTGGCTGCTTTATTTTATGATTGGCGTTATGATGAAATTGAGGAGGGACACAGATATGTTGAACAGATATCAGACTTTCACAAATATTACAGAGTTACAAAGGAACAGGATGGAACAAGTGCCATTGATTTTAACAGTGCCGACTCTGCTTGGAATGGAGGAGGTATTCACTTCTGCCTCGCTGACCAGGGTCAGTCTGAGCTCTGCATGGACTATTTTGTATCTAGTGATGAAAGTTTTGGGAAGAGGTGTTGGAACATTGATACACAGGGAAGCAAAGATATTATTCTTGGCCTGGGAGAGTCACATCAGTTAGAGTACAAGACACTACAGAAGACAATATTATGGTTCATACCAGCCGGCACTGTGACAGTGGTTTCAGGTTATAAAGCTGTATCAGAGTCGAGATACGGGATATACAGGGGAAACGGAGATTCCAATCGTTTTTTTGCAGTTCAGAAAGCAGAGGACCAACATGTGATTGAAGTCATGTTAAGTTACTATTACACTCTTTACGGTGAACCAGGTGATGACCTTTTCTTCCTCGGTCCACAGAAAAGTTATGTTACAGGAGCTGGTGGAAAAGACACGTACATCATTCCTAAAAATGGAGGGAAAACAATCATTGACAACTACGATCCTTCCAAAGCACTGGACACTCTTCATTTCAGTGTTGATTACAGTCACATTTCTGCGTCTAAATCTGGAGACGACGTTGTGTTAATGTATGAGGACAGTCATACAGTGACCATAACAAACTGGTTTTTAGGGGAACCGTATCGTCACATGACCATGATGTCAGGAGACGGAGTCTTATTTGAGATTTCCTCCATTGTGTATTCTTCTGTTCACCTGGTGGCCAGAGGAATTAACAAGATGTTTAAGAAACAGGGTGAAACTGTGGACGCATCACTGCCACTTTTAAGTACAGTTACAAACATCGTTGGCTCTCCGTATGATGATGTGCTCATCGGGAATGGAGAGAACAATCTGATGGATGGAGGAGGAGGTTCGGATCGTTTGATTGGTGGCGAAGGAGAAGACATATACATATTGAAAAACGGACAGCGGCCTCAGATTGAAAATTACTCCACAGACAATAAAACAGACCTGGCCATAATAGAAGCAAATCTTCACACTTTTAGAGTCATCGACCATTTTGATGATCTTACTCTGTACGCGTTCTCTAATAATACAAATGTCGTAGTGGTTTTAGTGAATTGGTTCAGATCACCAGCAGACAGACACTTGCTTTTTGTCACAAAGGATCTGATCACTTTCACGATCTCAGATAAGAAGACTGACTGCCTGCAGAGTGACCCGTTCACAAAGTGCATACAGAGTTACAGGATTGACTACAGCAGCTCCTCATCTGCTCTGGAGATGGACCTTCAGGAGGACGAGGCTTTAGACAGCGTGACGGAGGTCCGCGGGTCAGAGTTCGACGATGTCATCAGAGGCAACAAAGGACACAACGTTTTTGTCCCAGGAAGAGGAAACGATTTCCTTCAGGGTAGAGGAGGAGAGGACTGGTACGTTATCACACCAGGCCAAGGAGTAAAAACCATCAACAATCAATCACCAGATCTAGTCTTGGACATTCTCTTTCTGAAAGAACAATATAAGCATATAACATGTTCTTGTGAAGGACAGAGCATCGTAATTTTGGTAAACAACACAAAAGATGTTATTTTACAGAACTGGTTTGAATCAAAGTTTTATCAACATCTGCAGATCAAGACAAGTGATGGAATAACATTTGGATTAATGTCCAACCTCAGCAGCTGTGTCGACTCTTTAATGTTACCTTTAACTGTTGATTATAGAAACCAGAAGCCTGAACCACTTCATTACCTCCGAACACACCTCCGGAAACATTCAGTTAATGTAGAAGATGCCCCAGTTTCTTCTGGACATGATGGGTGTGTCAGATATAGAAGCAAAGATTCAGAGGAGTGGTTCCTCTGCGGCCTTCAAGGCAAAGTGATGATGGTGAATAAAGCTGATTCAGTGAAAGAAATGTATGGCTCCTCAGGTTTCGACATCATGGTCGGGAACAGCAATGAGAATTTGCTTGATCCTTACACTGGGGGTGCTGTGATGTTTGGAGGTGAAGGAAAAGACACTTACATAATCAAACATGGATATGGAAACGAGTTAATGATCGATAACTATGCAGAAGATCAGAATATCGATACTGTGTTGGTCGACATGGATTTCCTCGATGGCGGCCAAGTCGCACTCGACTCATCATCAACTGGAGATCTTAATGTGATCATCATGTCAAAAGAGGAAATGTTAAAGTTCAGTCTGCTCAACTACAATGATGGTCACCAACATCAGCACGTGGAATTTCAGAGCTCTGACGGAGTGACTTTTAAAGTGAAATCCCTAAACTCAACTGCGGCTGTCCCCGTCTCTCACATCGAAGCTTTCAAAGTGACTCTGAAACAATCGCAGGCTGACTGTCGTTTGGACCTCAGCTCTCAGAGAAACCTGTCAAAGGTCCATACAGTGCAAGGCTGCCCCTTTCAGTCCAATGACATCCTAGGTAATGATCAAGACAATGCTCTAATTGGTGGGTGGAAGGATGACGCCTTGGAAGGAGGCGAAGGAGACGATACGCTGATAGGAGGGAATGGAGACGACATCCTGATCGGTGACTTGGGAGACGACACTCTTTATGGAGAAGATGGAAATGACACTATGATGGGAAACTCTGGCAGGGACGTCTTCATTCCTGGACCAGGGGCCGATCTAGTGGACGGGGGTCCTGGCAGAGACACTGTTCTGTACCGAGGTGACCACGACACAGGTAAAGGGGTTTATGTTAACCTGCTGACTGGACAAGGCCGCTATGCTGATGCTGAGGGGGACGTGTTGAAGGACGTGGAGAATGTCGTTGGCACCATCTACTCTGATATCTTGGTGTCCGGCTACGAAAGTGCTCTTCTCAAAGGCTCCGATGGCGATGACATCCTGGTGTCCACTGGGGGTGATTACCTGGTCGGAGGTGATGGAAATGACCTTTACATGTTGGCCTTCCACGATGGTTCAGTCACCATTAACAACTGTGCAAAGGACAACGCCACAGACGTCTTGTACGTGAGCTCTTGGTCAACACCAAGATTTGAATGCCGACCTTTACCTGACAGAGTTCTGCTGACTTTCTTTGGACAAAACGAAACTACAGTTAAAGTTTCACTGGAAGGCTGGATCAGTGATGATCATGAGTGTGGTCATTTGAAGTTGGTGTTCAGAGAGGTGGAGGTGTCAGTGGACAGGATGCTACAAGAGTGTCAGTTAAGACACAAGGAAGCAGTTTGGTCTTTTTACATAAGTTGTGTTGTCTGCATCAGTCTTCTGCTCTTCCACTGTGTTTTCATTTTACAATCATGCAGAAAATCACTATCAAGGGCGCGACAAGAAAAGCAGCAGGAACAAGCAGAAACAAATGTTGATGCGGGATCAGTTCCTTGATGGCTGATGTGATCACCTACTGCAAGAAGACTAACAACACAAGAGGGCAAAAAAATAAACCTATTTCGCCACCTGGCAAAGAGCTAAAAATAGGCAAGAATATCATTATCGCATTTCATTGTCTGTGGTTTAATCTTCTTTTATGGTTTGTAGTTGTATTTTGCTTGCTTGTTGTTATATGCATTTATACTACTGAATAATTACAAACCTTGTTTTCTGGTTAGATGCACGGTGTCTGAATTCAATCACATTTGGTAATCAATCAGCGAGATGCAGAGAAACTTTCCCCTTATAATACATCCTGGGTCTTAATGTCATAGCTGGATATATAGAGAGGATCATAACACTGGACTCGCCGCTGTCATTGTAGAAAATCAAGACAAAACAACTGTCTGTGAAACAGCTTTAGAGTCAAGTCTGATGAAGAAACACCTATTTTGCATTGATGTTCACCAGTTTCCTTACTAAAAATTCAGTGCCGATTGTTTCAGAACTGCAGTCGGGGTAACTGGGTCTTTGATATTTGGGTGCATTTCACCTATAGGCCAACTATCGATTCCAGTTATTTAGAAGTCTAAACAAAGGTTAATAACATTACAAACAAAAATAACATTATTACCCCAATTATCTAACATCTAACCTACAGGTTGACGTGTGTTCCTGTTTTAATTATAATGGGATGTGATGAGGCTGAACAACTGGGGTGATTTAAGAACAGGAAGGTTAAGACGTCCTTAACCCTTAAAGGGCACCTATTATGGAAAATTCACTTTTACATGGTGTTTGAACATAAATGTGTGTTGGCAGTGTGTGGGCAAAACCACCCTAGAATGATCAAAATCCACCCAGTGTTTTTTTTTACAATCTCAATAAATCATATGCACTGTGTCAGAACGAGCTGTTCTAAGATTCAGCGCTTTGTGATGTAGAATTGAGCAAAGGGTTTGATTGACAGTGTGGTTGTGGCATAGACCTTGTGGCTTAAATCTTGTTTGTATAGTGTGTAACCACACGTTTATAAATATATATATTTTTAAAGATATTGTATTAAAAACTGCATATATGTTGTTGTTCTGTAAGTTAGCCATCTCCTCACATTTGCCACAAAAGCACCTTTATGACAAGTAAACATGATGCAACAGGTCCCTCGCATAAATGTAATTTCGCTTGTACGTACGTAGCAAACTTTATCACAGAATGTGTATGTAGTTTCAAAAAATTGTGCCAGCTTCAGTGTTTGTGTGTGTCTGTGTGTTGCACATCCGACGCGATTGCAACTCTATAAGTACATAAATGTATCAAATAACCATACCGAGACGTACTGGTCCATTCTCATTTGTGTTTATTCTTCCGTTCGTCATCTGGGTCTGATCAGAGATTATATATTCCGATTCAAACGTACGCTGAATGACATTCAAAACAGCGGTTTCTCTCACTCTCTTAGTACCGACTGCCATAGGTATCAAGTTACGCCCTCATCCAAAGGCAGGGCGGGGTTATGCAGCTCATTTGCATTTAAGGTGGTATAGTCCCCAAAACAGCTCATTTTTAAGCAGGCCCCAAAATGGCATTTTCAAATGATTATAATAAATTAACTATGGGGTATTTTGAGCTGAAAATACATTCTGGGGACACCCGAGACCAATATTACATCTTGTAAAAAGGAGCATAATAGGTGCCCTTTAATGTCCAGGGGCCTCATTTATAAAACTGTGCGTAGAATCCTTACTAAAAGTGTACATGCGCCCGAAAGCCAAAAATGTCGTACGCAAAAAAATATTCAGACTTATAAAATATAAATCCTGCGCATAATTCACTTTATAAATCACAGTCAACGGAAGATTGTGCGCACATGCGTCTCTTCCCACGAAATAACCATATATAGAGATTATAACTAGTATAACTATGCATATCCTCATCTGCATATCATTTGCATATGATTATTCATCCACGTGATAACATGTTTAACGGTACATTTTATACGTTCATGTTCCAGTGTGATTTACAGTCACTCAACTACAGCCCATGGCAGCTCTAACCAACACCTCCACTCTCGACTCACTGATTGGACCCCAGGTTGGCTGACTCCTGACTGCAGTTAGCTTTTGGAGAAGTCATTGGCCTAGAGGTTCACAATTTTCACACCCTGCACAGTGAATGTGAACACGGTGTGTTCAATAAAATCATATACTTGTTTGTGTGGTATTAGTTTAAGAAAATTGTGTTTGTCTACGGTTGTATTAGAAGATCAGATCACATTTTATGACCAATTTATGGAGAAATCCAGGTAATTCCAAACACATATTGGCACTGAAACACAGTGACGTGGAGTGACTTCTCCGCTGGCTTTGGCCCCAGTGAGTCCCAGCAGCCCATTATTTACTAAATATAATAATAAATCCTTGCATTTAAGTGGTTGAAATTAGCACACTGCACCAACAAACGGACCCTGTATTTGTTCAACAATTAAAAACACACAAAAAACATATTGTTCTGTTCATAAAGTGTGTGTGTTTAGAAATATAGACGATCTGCATTTACAGCCAATTTTGGTGTCATGAAGTGGAATAAACACCAACATTTTAGCCGCACAGTGAACAGGCAACATGAACTTTGAACCAATTTTCCTCAGAGATCCATGATGCAGATAAACCAGTACGCTCACTGGTGAGAAGTTTGGTTGTTAAACAAATCCACAGGACGGCTTTCGGAACACACACCGAGGACGTTTGATTAACACGAGGTAGCTTTTTCATATTCATCATTACAGCCACAAGACTGCTCAGAGAGAGAGAGAGTGCTGACATCTGCTGGTCAAAATCAGTTACTATCTCTGAGGAAAAACCACAACACACCTTTCACTTCATTAACTAACTTCAAGTCATTAATGTGGGAAGCTAATAATTAAACTCCAGACAATGTTTATCTGAATTATGAAAGACGAAGCAGCTAGATAATCAGACGCATCTTCAAAGGCTTTGTGTTTATTACACTGATCGCTGATTGGCTGAAAAGTCATTCCAATAAAGGCGACTATGATGCATTCAGGTGTCTCACACATAGATATCTATATAAAGGCTAGATGTCTCACGGCGGAGTATTTATCGTCATCACCGGCGGCCATCTTGTCACAGACAGGCTTTCTGGCGGGCTCTGTGGTATCTGATGTAAGAAATACTCTTATCTCGTTGAAATCTTGACAAATGCTTTGCTGCATACCTCGGTTGTAACGAGTGGTTATTTCAGTCTGTGACGATCTTGGACCTGTCAGCTCCTCCTTTTTGCCTGTTCATTACGTATCCCCTAATAGGTGAGACGAGCGCAGGTGTTTTGTGTTGCAGGTGATTGTCCCGGACCGCGTGTGGTTGCTTTCCTGTATCCTGGATGTTAAAAGCTCTCCAGAGTTGATTGAAAGGGGCCGCCGCATCTCCTTCTCTCCCGCACCGTTCTGCTGATTTTGTTTCTTTTTGCATTACACTTCATATACCCTGATGGCATTTGTTTACTTTTCAAGTTGTACATTTAAACTCACTTTAATTATTTTATGTTGCTTATTCTTTGTCTTTAATAAACAACATCACAGAACAGAGCAAGGCGAGCATTTGAGCTTATAAAACTTAAACTTTGTTATTTATTTATTAAATGAGCGATCGTTTCGCTTGATAAGGCCCTTATTCATCGTCTGGAATCGTTTAAAGCCCTTTGAACAGTTTGCACTGAAACTGTCTTTTGGACCTTGAACCGTTTGGTTCCCATTGAAGTCCATTATATGGAGAAAATCCTGGAATATTTTCATCAAAAACCTTCATTTCTTTTCAACTGAAGAAAGAAAGACATGGACATCTTGGATGACATGAGGGTGAGGTTTTTTTTTATTATTATTTTTTTTAAGTGAACTACTCCTTTAATAATGCACATTGCAAAATTTACGAATACATTTTTAAAATCAAAAGTTAATATAAGTTACTACACTAACATGAACAAACAACAAAAAAATTATTTGTATTATCTAACATTTGCAAAATATTAATAAATGATGCAAAAATGATATGTGAAATGATGTTTATTTAAGCTAATGCATTAACTGCTAAGACCTTATTGTAAAATGTCACCGTTTACTCTAATTTGATCCCACTTGGGTATTAAAAAATCAAATTTGAATGTTCACTTTAGTGTTTATTTCAGAAGTGTTTGCCGATAAGTTTTACTCCTGATGTGTGTTGTTTTAGAGCATTCATTTCTAATGGAGTTGTTTTGACGTTTTGCGCAGTCAAGCATTAATTATTTGCTCTGAGTGTTTGCTTGTTGGATCAGGAAGCCTGGAGCTCTTACTGTTTATTTGACTATTAGAGTAATAAAGCGGAACAATGGCACAACAATACGTCTTTGTTTCGAGTGTGACAGACGTCAGGAGAACCAACAGGTGAGCAGCAGAGGACTACTGTATGATGTCTCTCAGGTGCGCTCTTTGTGTTATCTATCATAAGTGTGTACTTGCTGCTACTTAGAAGTACTGTACTTTAAGTGTGTTGATGTGTTTGTAGATAAAGATTCTAATTTTACTTCAATTGACTAAGCAATTTGTCATCATCTTTTTGTTAGCACAGAAGTGACTCACACATGCTGACCTTTAAACGTCTTTTGGCAGAAAAATGTGAATTACTTTGGTCTCTGTTTGTACAATCCAAAAATAAAGAAGTAAACAACGATAACTCTAATTGAGTATGTTTTGAACTCACTAGCATGGAAATTTATGATGGTTTGAGCTGGTATTTTGTCCTGTCTGCGCGTTTACATGGACCCTTATAATCGGATCGACGGCTCAATCGGACTAAAAAACCTTAATCGATCCAATTGAGCTCGATCCGACTTGAATTTCGATCGGATTGAAAGGGGTGGTTTACTCCTTTCGTAATCCGACCGAGAGAACATGTAAACACTTGTTCTGATTGAAAACCGAAACTAAAAGGACTGCGCATGTGCTGCACTGTTCTTCCTGTTGAATAAAGTTTCATAGAAACAAGGGGGTAATCCATCAGCCGGAAGTTGAAGCCTCGCGGGAGCCGCCATCAGTGTTGTAGTCGAGACCACCTCACTCGAGTCCGAGTCGACACCGAGACCAGAAAGAGTCGAGTCCGAGTCAAGACCGAGTCCAGAGAGAGTCGAGTCCGAGTAGACACCGAGACCAGAGAGAGTCGAGTCCGAGTCAAGACCGAGTCCATAGA